TGCTGAGGTCATACATTTACCATGATGCTGAGGTCATATTTATATTACCATTTGCTGAGGTCATACATTTTACCATGATGCTGAGGTCATATATTTACCATGATGCTGAGGTCATACATGATGCTGAGGTCATACATTTACCATGATGCTGAGGTCATATATTTACCATGATGCTGAGAGTCATACATTTATTTACCATTTTACCATGATGCTGAGGTCATTTACCATGATGCTGAGGTACATTTACCATGATGCTGAGGTCATACATTTACCATGATGCTGAGGTCATACATTTACCATGATTTTTACCATGATGCTGAGGTCATACATTTACCATGATGCTGAGGTCATACATTTGATGCTGAGGTCATGATGCTGAGGTCATGCCATATGCTGAGGTCATACATTTACCATGATGCTGAGGTCATACATTTACCATGATGCTGAGGTCATACATTTACCATGATGCTGAGGTCATACATTTACCATGATGCTGAGGTCATACATTTACCATGATGCTGAGACCATACATTTACCATGATGCTGAGACCATACGTTTACCATGATGATGAGACCATACATTTACCATGATGCTCAGGTCACATGAGGAACCCGTGAATATCCGAGTTAGAATTGGTATTCGGCAACCTATGATTGTCGGAACAGGCGACTAACGGGATTGTGTGGTCAAACCAGCTGACTTGGTTGACACATGTCATTGTTTCCCAATTGCGTAGATCGATGCTCATGATGTTGATGACTGGTTTGTCTGGTCCAGACTCGATTATTTACAGACCGCCGCCATATAGATGGAATATTGCTGAGTGCGGCGTAAAACTAAACTCACTCACTCACTCACTCGATGCTCATGCTGTTTATCACTGGACTGTCTGGTCCAGACTCGATTATTTACAGACCGCCGCCATATAGATGGAATATTGCTGAGTGCGGCGTAAAGTTAAACTCACTCACTCACTCGATGCTCATGCTGTTTATCACTGGACTGTCTGGTCCAGACTCGATATTTACAGACCGCCGCCATACAGCTGGAATATTGCTGGGTGAGGCGTAAAACTAAACTCACTCACTCGATGCTCATCGTGTTAATCACTGGATAGTCTGGTCCAGACTCGATTATTGACAGACCGCCGCCATATAGATGGAATATTGCTGAGTGCGGCGTAAAACTGAACAATGTTCATGTTGTTGATTGGATTGTCTGTTCAAGACCGCCGCCTTACAGCTGGATTATTGCTGAGTACGGCGTTCAACAAAGAATCACGTGACGAAAATGATGCAAACTTCATGTCACAGGATGTGAATCTTGCATTTCCCTGAAAAAAGTACTATGTGTTACAGTCAGAATCTTTCCACACAGCTCTCTTACACTATGACAATTCTACTACTTTATTGTGACCAGGGGAAGGGGTCTCAAAAATGCATTACTCATGATAATTTTAAAGATACTGCGGATGAAAATCCTTTAAAAAATGATGTGAAATACAGAACGCTCCTTTCTAAAGAGACAGGCTTTGTCCAGGTTAGCTAACAGAGACAGTTACCTCCCGTGAATCACAAGCTGGTACATGAGTGGGATCAGTGACTCATTCGTTCTGGCTTACAATACTTTACCAGATATAACTCCGTATCAGATACATCCTTTATATTCCGATTGTATTTCCATCATGATTGGTATGTCACACAGTCCATATACTCGTCCGATCAACGCATGCCCCCATCCTACAAGAACACGAAAAGGTGTGGGCTGTTAATTATTGTACATTTATATTGACATTTCTCCTTCATTTCTAGATTGACAGATGTTCCCACAAATTATAAACTACCAAAATAAATATAAGGGAATTGATGGAATGACAACGAGGGTGTTATGGCGATAAATGTCTGTGAAACTCATATCGGGTGCAGATCAGTATTTCGGGTATCGATCATGTTGTGCAACCATAATACCAATTACTAACATGGGTACGCTTGTCATGGGCCTGCAGTTCCGTCAGCGAAAGCTATACCAAACTGGACCATATTGTTGTTTGACTGGTGTACACTCTCTGCCAGAGAACATCCCATAGAAGCTCTTATGAAGATGGATGTCCAAATGCCTTCTCGTCGATGGCGTTCTTGCAATTCAAAATTTCTTCGAAAATCCGTCACCATAGCGCTGGTCGGTTCATTCAAGATAACTAAATGAGCTTGCCTGTCGTGTTTGACCGATCATGGTTAATAATTGTCCAAGTATATCTTCTTCACTTTGTCACCAACGTTTTCTGCCATCAGTGAACCTAGATAAACGCCAGATAATGGTTGTCCGGATATCTTCAATGAACGGCGATAATGGTTAGAGTATACTTCACCAAGGGATGTAATGAACATGTCAATATCTTCTTACCTCGAATCTTTTTATTTCGACAAACTATTTATCTGGAAGACATCACTTGAAGTTAGTCCAAGCCTATTATAGCTTTCATGAGGTATATTTCTATATTAAATATGCATGGTATTAACCGACTCTCCAACTGAAACACGAAAGGCCTTGTTGTGCTTATATCGCGTACAATTAAATTGATATTAATATATAAACGCAATATTGACAAATAGCACCTGACTTATTAACATAAATCCATTTAACCATACTTCCCTCATACTTTGCCTCTTCATTATATAGTTCATAAAAGTGCGAAATTTCCAGCACAACGTGTTTCATGAATGTGGTTGTGTTTACGATAAATGTCAAAGGTTCAGTTTTAAGCATCGAAGTTCATGTGAGAGGAATGCTCAGGGACTCGGCCTCGAAATGTGTCAGAATAACAGCTTCAATTCAATAGAACTTTTTAAGTTCCAGAACAACAAATACCAATTGCGTTTTTAATGACTTTCACTATAAATATGCTTGAAAGTATGCAGTCCATACATTAGATTTTCACTGAAATGGCCAATGTTCAAATTAATGTGAGATTTGTCAACTCACAAGGTGGACAGAACAGTATATAATGGATACAGATTTCGTGTCAAGAACAGGAAGAATACAAGAATCCATTGGCGCTGCTGCCAGAAGGATTGTTCAGCAACCATCAACACCCACAACAACCTTATCACCACTTACAGAGATATCATCAACCATCCAGGTGATTAACAGGACATCGAGATTCAGGAATTCATTGATTCCCTGAAATAGAAGGTCAGGACAGTGGGCTCAGTCGTGCCTGCCATATACCAAGAAGAGCTTAGCAGTTCTTTTGAAAGAGACATAGTGTCATTCTTGCAGTGTTTGAAGCAGAAAGCCTCCGACCACAACCTGAATCTATCCCCGACAACAGTGTTCACCGACTTTGAGTCAGCAGCTCAGAAACCACCTCGAAGGCTGGCACGCCAAGCTCAACAAGTTAGGCCCCAGTCATCCCAACATATTCAAATGTGTGGAAATGTTGAAGAAGGAACGGAACCACACAGAAATTATTCTACTTCAAATCAGTTCAGGAGGAAGATTGCCACCCAAGAGAAGAAAGTATAGATGCTTTGAGGACAAATTGCAGCAAGAGAAGGACAACCTACTTACGGGCAGAAAAACTGTTTGAATATGTTGATGTTGTGTGTAATTCTGTAGGGCTATGAATTTTTTAATCATTGTTATAATTATTATGTACAACATTGTGTATAAATGTAGCATAATATAAGTTAGCCTGAATAAAATATGCTTAAACCGTAATTAATTTATAGGCAAATCTGAATTAAAAATGCTTAATGAATTTTGTTATTTCTTTGTTAGAACAGACAGTAACTAATCCTTCTATTGTCGGCCTGTTTCCAATTGTAACTGCACTAGTAACCAAAACAAACGCACCGGGCACAGTGAGATGTCCCCATGTATATATCCTGACTAAATTGGCTATCACGCTGGGTGTAGAGTACAGTCACAGGAGAAACCTTTGTACTGAGTAAACATTCTGCATGTTTCTTATTCTTAGTGGTTAATGTGTGGTTTTATCATCTAAATTATTGGTCTGTGGCCTGTGTCTCCACCAACGCTGGAATGTTTTAGAACAGTGACGACTCAACTGGCGCGTAAATCAATCATCAACTGTTTGTGTTTTCTTCACAGAGGCTGATTCAGGCCAAGAGACAAAGATATATTTCAGCAGCGTTTAAACCTGGTTTCAGCTGTACTGCATTCCTTCAAAGATGCTGCTTTAGTACAAGACATAAGAGATGTTCAAGCTCTCAAGTAAACTCATATCAGCTGTACTATATTAATTCATAGAGGCTGATATAGGTTTCAGCTAACAAGCAAACCAATCATCAGCTATAACCATTCAGACTGCTCTTGATTAAGTCGGGGAGAGAATATTTGGTGTAGAACATGGCATCAGCTGTACTTCATTCCTTCATAGAACCCGTGAAGATCCGGGTTAGAATTGATCTTCAGCAACACATGCTTGTCGTTAGAGACGACTAACGGGATCAGGTGGACAGGCTTGCTGACTTTGGTGACACATGTCATCGTATCCCAATTAAGGTCGATGCTTATGTTGTTGATCACTGGATTGTGTGGTCCAGAGTCAAACCAAACCACTCCTTCATAAAGGCCAGCATTTGTCCACTTAGCACAAAGCCACATTTCATTCCCCACATGCATGTAAACCAAGCTCCTGCTGTACATCGTTCTATTATAGAGGTTGGAATGTGTTTGGGTGCATATACTGTCCTAATACGTTTGAATCAGTTCATTCAAGAAGAACGTTTTACATCTGTCGAATTACGTTTTATGATCTGGTACACGAGGAATAAATGTCAGAAGTTATGCTTCAATTTCATTCATAATTATGACGTCTAGAAATTCATTTGAAATAGATACCGGACCATCGAGCTTCGTCTTCTTTTAATCCAATTCCTGGTCTATTTATCCATTATCGCGAGCAATCTGGACAGAGCATTAGGATAACTCACATTGTGTAATTTCATTTTTCCAATCACTCAACACACGTACATAGTCTGTATTAACTGATTTTATTACAGAAACAGAACGAAATAGAAATGCCAAGCATATTTAGCATTATGATAAAATCAGTAAAAAACTAACAAAAGTGATTCCACATTGAAAACGGAGCATGAGGAATAACAACCCAACCGTATCCTGAAATGACAGGAAAAAGAGAAAGGACTCCCATTGCCTTGATTTAATGAATTAATGTAATAAGTGGTGAATTGATTTTGAAAATATAATAGCATAACTTATTGAAAACAGACACATGTATTCACGGTTATTACAAGCCACGTGCTATGTAAATTGAAAATCCAGGGTGTGTACGCGAAGCAAGTTGGTGTAATTGTGTTTTATGTCTCAATTTAAATATAAACAATGGCAGTCTCCATAACACAGCTGTTTCGGTCGCACAAACGTCTGAAGGATTTAAGCTATGAATTTTGTTTGTTAACAACAATAACTGTCTAAACAAATCACATACTAAAATACTATTATGATGGCTAACGATAGGGTATTGTATTAATTTTTTGAATTTTAGGACAGGTCGTAGCCTGGTCACGTGACCGCGAAAGAACACCTGGATACGATTCATAGGGTTGATACTTGAACACCTCTGTCTTTACATGTCAAAATCTTTCGAATTAAGTTGTTTTCATAGTATTAATATACTAAGCGACATATCTGACAGACACGGTCTCTGAAGCAAGAACGATGCGTTAGTAAAAGGTCTCAGTATAGGACCACGATATATTTGCATTCTGATTTTATCACATTCATTTCCATATAAGGCCCGACCATTTGGTTTCCGTGGGTTTCGGACGTGGGATTTTATGCCAAAAGATCTAAATTGTCTCACAAATTCTAAAAATATTATGCATCAGGTTGCTGAAAAAAAAATGAATGTTTACGAGATGTTTTTATTTCATTTATCAGACTTATGGTATCAATTTAAAACAATACTTGTATTTGAAGCTGTATATCCAATTTTCTCCTAGTCCAGAATAGCAAATCGACAGCCCCTTTCTATGGGGTTTGGTTGTAGTAGATGGCCATTGTTCAGTAACCGTTTAAACACAATGTCAAGATTCTCAAAGCTCAACCGACAACGTTTTGCTGTCGATGGCTTCCTTCACCTTTTTTTCATTGATATGACTTTCGCTTTCCTTCACTCGTTCATCAAAAGAATTAGCTGCTCACAATCAATACATAATGCTATAGATTGTTATATGCATTGTCTTTCTAACTCATTAATGTTTTCATTTTCTATGCATGGCAAAATTCAGTGAAGGTAATATGTATGCAAATAAAGCAAATCAGAGTGGTAAAAGTATAAACATCTACATGGAAATGTAAGTTTCTTATATACATAATTTCACAGCCTTGGGTTATATACAATAGTCATGGTTGTATTAACAAAGTCACAATAGTTCAGTCAAGATAACAAACGATATTATTCGCTTTTTGAAAGACGAGTCAACTGCGTTACTTCCACAGTAGCGGCAGTATTGTCAGATCTATACAAGGTTGATGACGTCATGATGACGTAGTTCGTGAAGTCCGTAAAGCACATGATGACGTCATGATCACGTAGAACCTGATTTGACCATAACGAAGTGATTGATGGCACTATACCAATAATGATGTCTATGGCGAGGCCTTCTGGTTCTAAGCACACTTAGATCTGAATATCTCACACATACGCTGGTCATTTCATATGTCATTCAGGATTCAAATAGTCTGTCGAGGTGTTCATCTTGCTTCGTTCCAGACACATATCCGTCTGTGTGTAGGTTGTATGGCGAAAGCACAAGGCATATGCAGACATGGTTACGTGAATCATTGCAGTCCGCTGTACATCACCTGGGTATCTCGAACTTCGAGAATTCGATATATCATTAAGACCTTTATCTTATGGCCCAGCATGATCTTTACAATCCGCTTGTCTCGAACATCGTATAACTCGATCGATGTCCAATGATGTCCATGAGTTAAATAGCTTTTTAGTGCCGATGATGGTGAATCACCTGTGTGTGGAGTCTATATGATACCAAACCTCTCCAGGTGTTTCCTTATAATCAAAGAACGACAGCCCTCGAGGACCTTTGTGATGTTTTGTGTGTCGACGGCACATGTGTAGTAATATTGGCACGTATGGAACTGGTGCCAGTCTGGATCTTGGTCTTGAAGACACTGACGCAACCTCAGGTCCCCCGTCACGATTCTCTACAATGAAGATAATGAATTAAGAGAATGTGAAAATACAAAACAACTAAACATCTATCATTAACTATTACGAGACATAATTCTACTCATTTAGAGTGAAAACTCTTTCATCAGAATCTTATTGGCATTATATATTTTGGTAAAAATAGTTCCTTTTTTCTGACATATGGATAAGCGGAACATTTTTTCTGGTACCAGAACACAACGAGAACACAACATCAGAATGCGTCCTGAAGATAAAATAATTAAAACGCAATTGATGTGAGGCAATTTCATTACTTAAATAACCATTAGCCTCTGTTAAATGTTTTATCCATTTATTTTCATTTGTTTCTTGATCTCCGACGGGGACAGTGTGGGTACTTTTGTAAAAATATTATTTCTTCAAAAATTATCACACAAGGAAAGAAATCTACTAAAACAACCCTAGATGTAAATTTGTGATGACACATATTCGCGATAACTGATGAACATATCCTTCCCAGAAGGTAGCACCATTCAGTATTGTAACAATAAACCTAGCATTTTATTATTCTCCGTCCTAAAACGTTTCCTTCGTGATTAAGCTGTTGATGATACCCAGCCAAGATTGATTTCATTTGTTCACGATATGTAAGGAATATCGATTTCCTTTTGTAGCGTCTCTTACACGTATTTTTTATGCACGCAGGCAGGTAGAGCAACCGTTATAACGGGTTTGATGTACGTGATGGTATATCTTCATCTTCACAGGATACCTTCTTGTCCTCGCATGACCAACAAGATCAGAACTGTGCATGAGCAAACATAAGAAGATTGGTAGATATGACCAATGCTTAATAAAGCAGAAACATCCGTTGTATTTGATCAGTATCCACGTGCATTACCAACACGCGACGACATCAGGCATATGCTGGTCCACGTGATAACTTATTTCCCTGATCCATTTATCGAATGAATTCTGGCTACACTTGCGACAATCACCAGTAATTAAGGGCAAGGTATAAATCCTTCTGGGAACCATGGACGCAGAGGTACCGTAAATCCCCATGGTCCCTAATTAGGATACCTTACCTTTCTTACCGGTGCTCTATAGTCACATTTTTATAGTTTTCCATTATTATAATTTTCTGTGACTAGTTTTGAACCAACTATTGCTGGTTATTATACAGTTCTTCGGCCACAGTTCTAAGGTAAAGTTATAGAACGTTCTCCAGTCACAATATGGCTGACATATTGGCCATGTGACTTTAACTTTGAAGTTTGCACATAAATCGTGAAGTCCAAAGTTTAGGGGGTAATGCTTGTCAGGGGAAATTATTTTTTCGGTGGAGGTGGGGTGCGCTCGGGGGATCCATCCCTACTCATGTATCGCCTGACGGCTTGAAGACATTAAATATAGTCCCAACAAGGGAGATAACTATGCCAGTATTCTCAAAGCTTGGGGGGGCACTTGGCAGTCTCGGGCGGGCTCTACGCTAATGGCGTAAGACGTTTCCAGACGAAGGTTTATCCCCCAAAGTTTTGCCATTTGATGAAATCCCTTATCTTTTGTCGGTACTAATGGTGTATAGCTGTATAATAGACATCAACTTACCATGAAAATGTTGCGGATGTACACAGCTGCTTTGATGGTGCCAGGGTCGACGTCAGTTCGAGACGTTTTTTTGTTCCGTTTTTTCGGTACTTCGTCATTGCCTGGGAAAGAGTTGATGAAGTCCAGTCTCTCATTGGCTGAAAAAATAGATGTATATATATTAAGCATAGCTAGACATCATAGTTTGATCTGTAAACGCGACATTGCCAAAGGATCTATTTGACAAAAATGACAAAAATAGTACATAGGTATTTCACAGATGAATAATGACAATATAGAATAAAACGTAAAGCAGAATTAAACGGCTGTTATTTTTCGATTGAGATCTAATAATGAGTGAATAAGGTTTTACGCCGCTTTTAAAGTATTCGAGTATTGTCAGAAATGTACCTCACATAATATGCGCATCTGATATTTTCATCACTGAAAAGCTATTATTATTTTTACAGATAAGATTCAAAACATACATCAACAAACAGCATCTAACATTTCAACTTACGCGTTGGTTCGAATTTTTCATAGTCAGGAAAAACATGTGGATATTTTCTTGTGAGTTCAAGGGGCGTGTGGTTACGGGATACTTTTTCCGCCAAAATATCGATTTTGTTCAAAAATAGGAGACAAGAAACGTGCCTCAGAAACCTGAAACATAGATGCACATGGTTGTTACTTACAGAATCTGGAAAATGTACAACTATATACTATATAAGTAAAATAGGTTCATCTTAAGTAGATTCCGGATAACATGTAAGAAATGACTTTTAGGCACTTTCATTTCAACGTTTTCACCTCTAGAATACCCCACCTCCCCGCTCTTGGTAGATATTTATATTAATCAACTAACTGCAATATGCAATATTTATCTATAAATGAATAAATTTCTATCATGTCTGATAATTACATTTCAAGCAGTACCTGTTGTATAACAAATAGATCGTTTGGAACTTTGCTTGTTATAAAAGTCACCAGACTCGATTATTTACAGGCAGCCGTCATATACTCGTAGTTGGGACATTTTTTTATTTTTATTTTTTGTATTATTATAGGATATTTATATAGCGCACATATCCACGCACTAGTGCATGCTCAAGGCGCTGGTATTTTTTCCCTCGATCATTGGATGTCAATATCAACTGCACATGGTATTAGCAATCTCAACTGCCTGGGAATATACAACTCTTGCTGCCACTAGGCGCACCGAGTTATTGTGGCTTTCTCATCCTAACGAGGTACCCATTCACAGCTGGGTGGACTGGGACACATATGGGATCGGCGTCAGACAACGAATGGACAACCATAGTTCCAGTTCTTACTCACCTGTTGTTCCAGACCTGTTCAAAGATCTCCAGTGCCTCGAGCAACCTATTCTTCTCAGGGTCTTCCCTCAACGTAAGGTCAAAACTGCTAACGTCAGCAACAAAGACGTTGGCAACGACACTGTCGAACATCTGAATCCACTTCTTCCTCTCTCCTCGCTGTCCCCCAACATCGTAAACACTGTAACATGTAGGGTACGGTGTTGCTAAGGTTTCATGTCCAACAAAATAAACTTAAATAATTCTTTCAATTCACTTTTATAAAATTTCAATAAGCTTTACAGACGTGTGACATCGGTCAAGCTGGATACGCACACCCTTTCGAACAATCACTATTTGACAGTGATAAATAAAGACATGCTCATTAAATGGTCGGGATCGTACAGTCGACTCTGCTTCTAACACACAAAAATCTGTGGAAAGGCTTTGTCGCTTTAATTCATCGATATAGTATGGAAACATTGCAAATGTTCCTTCTCTGATTATTATCAATAGTGTAAGGGCCATACCTGAACTGCACTTGTTGACCGGAATCGTTGACTGAAAAATCTATGTGTTGCACGCATGTTGTGATGACTCGACAACGGAGGATATCCTGGAACAGACAATAGGTGTGATGTTATGTAATGCTAAAGAAGGATTTAAACCAAATCTCACTCACTCACTCACTCACGTCCAGTCTGGTTCCCTGGGTCTGTTAGCGCAGGCGCAACAGACCCAGGGAACCAGGCTGACTCACGTCCAACTTCGATCGGAAATACCATGAGTAAAGGGACGCAATTCAAAGGGGCTACTCCGTTCCCAGTTAGTAATTGATACACCATAATACATTAGCTCACCTGGTCAGAAGGGAGGTAATCGGGGTTTCGGATTTCGTTGACTTTGTCCAAGAAGCTGAAATTATATATGAATAAATGTTGAACATCCTGCATAATTCTCAACATAAGTATTACATGTGTACCGTTATAAAAACAAAAATGCATATATCCTGGTTCTCTATAAAATACAGGTGTAAGAGTATACGATGAAAAATGAATATTAAGTCATAGACACATTGAAAATCATACATTAGCATGTCATCTCACTTCACTTACTATTTTGCACAGTCCAATAGCTGATATTCGTTACAACGACTGTAGCTTTCCTGGATACCCTTGTCCTTCCACAGAATTTCTGTATGTGTCAGGAAATCCTACAAAATATTAAAACATCATTAGTTTGCTTGGTGCCACCGGTGATCAAGCACGATGGGGTAGTCAGGCTCTGTAACTTGGCTGATGTCATTGTATCCCAATTTCGTAGTACGATGTTCATTATGTCAACCGCTGGCTTTTCCGGAAATTCAGTTATTTACTGGATACAACTGGATTGTTGCTCTTTGCGAGAAACAACAACAACAACATTCCCCAAATACTTCGAACACCACGAACTCTTTCTTCCCTTCATTAAAATATCGTAATCCACTCACGCTTGAAACCGGCCTGTCTGCGTCCTGTGCCTCCTCCAACAGGAGATCCACACTCTTCTGGTTTTCATCATCATGTAGAGATATGTCCAACTGCGGCATTGCCATTAATATTGCCTGCAACAAATACAATATTTTTTTTATTTCCAAATTGTTTTTTGTTGTCGATTAATCTATTTCATGTTATGGAATACTGAATAAATTTCCCAACCTTTGCAAGAAAAGAACACTTGATCTTTGTAAAAGTTAAAGTTAAACTAGACACAGTTAAACCAGGCGGTAAACCAAAAACCTCATTTTTGCCTTTGATTCACTTTCATCCCCGTACTGTATACAATGGCTAAAGCATTAATTTGCATAATTTGCAAGACTACCAAATTATATTTTCCAAAATATCAAAATGGCGTCCTCAGCACATTTTTGTGAATATCAGCCTGTTCACATCCCAATACAACTGAACACGTTGTCCGACAAAGGATTCATATTTTGTGTCAAAACCAATGCTCTATCGTCTTGGGACACGACTGGTTCTCGCGAACTTGGGGAAGCATGTGTCACGACAGACCAATGGTACATGAACACCACTCCTTGGGCTTCGTTTGTGTCACCAAATTTAAAAACACAGCTAATTTTGAATTAAAAAGCATCGAACTTCTAAGCTGTATTATTCAATGAGCAGGTTCTGTCAATATAATTAACATATATAATGAGTAAGAGGAACTATGTCCCTTGTTTATTCGTGAATAAAACATTATTTGTTATGGTACATACCAGAATGGAATCCCTGACGTTCCTCTTGATGTCAACAATTTTTGACATTCTCTCCCTAAAAGAAAGTACATCATTATTGCCATAATAAATTGAATAAAGCGAAGAAAATTGGGAGTAAACATGAATACAGCAGTAAACATATGACAGTATGCTTGGTTATATGGGGACATGTGTTTTGAGCAAGTATCTCCTAGTGTGAGGCAATGCTGTGCAACAACGTTTCAATTGTTGGGCGTTGTACAATAGGTGAAGCCCATTTCTGGTGTCCCTGATATTGCTCGAACATTGCTAAAAGCGGCGTCAAACCATACTCAATCACTCTCACTCACTCACTACTCATTGTTCCTGTCGATTCAGTAAGGGCCAGTGGAGTGCTATATTTAGACTTGTACTAGATTCAGACCGAAAGATCTGGAAAGTGCTACACATTGGTTTGTTGTTTATTGGTATCACATCTAGTTCTCTCACGGACTGATTCCCGGTTAACATTTTTGTTTCGACTTGAGAATCAACACGTACCACTCTGAAGACACAATGTAACAAGTGCTAACTTGTATAAGGTCTGATTATCATCATTATTTCATATCGTAATTCGTAAAACAGAAAAAAGTCATGATATATTCGGTAACGTACAATCATCTTTGCTCTTGGCAGAGGTTTCTAGTTTACGTGGAAGGATTTTGTCGCTTTTTATTATGAACCAAATTCCTTGTCACAGGAATTTGTGACATGACTCACCTGTTATCAAAACCGTTGATGTGTATTATTCGCATTTGCTTCGTGATTGTGCTTTTACCGGATTCGCCAGTACCTGGAAATATATTACTAAGTGGTAAAAACATATGACGAATCATTTCATAACATCAATGCGTAGAATATACCATTAAAAAATTAATACGACTCTTTGATGGAGACATGTAAAATATTCCAGCCATTTTACGCATGCAAAGTCAAAAGCATGATCGAACTTCAAAGAAGAATTCAATATGTCCTTGTAAACAGACTTTAGTTTACCGTAGCGTTAAATTGATGTCACGGTAATGGATACGAAGCTGTTTCGTATAGCCATTTGCTTCCTCAATGTCTTATGGATGAATGAAAGATGTAATGATAGGAATCATATAAATATATCTGAAATACAAACATTCTGTCGTGAATGATAAATAATGTGAGTTTGTGACTCATGGTTGTATGAGGACATTTGTCTGCGGTTTCTGAAGAGCATCATAAATCTATCAAGATGCAGTTAAATGGTCGTTGCTGTGATCATGTAAGGTGGGCGAGTTATTTATTAATCCAGAGTCAATTAATGGGCAACGTTTCTTGACTCTATACCCTGTGGATGTCGGGCAACCTGAAGTGTTTGCACAAGGCTAACGTCTCTGGAACCAGTTTAATGCAGTTCAGTGATTTATTATCACAGAACATTTGTTGAGATCATTCAGCCCGAGTGTGTGAGAGTGTATTTACAAAGCATTGTATAAGGAAGCTTTCATACAGTAAATCCCCGTCAATCTGACCCCGGTAACTCGGAACCCCAGCTTCTGGGTGTTCTTCATGTGTGTATACGGAACTTTTTCACCCATACAGACCTTTGCTAATCCGGCAAGGTCGGTAGGAAACCTCGAGTCCGGATAAGTGGGATCAAAGCAGTCGTACTGGCTATTCAATTTTGCATTCAACTATTTAAAGAATACGATTTTGCGATGAAGCCCCTTTACGTCGCCTTATGATGCACTTTCTGATAACAAGCATTATGAGATTCTGCGAACAGTTCCATAGTAAATACCAATAGATGTTTCAGGTTCAATATAAAACACAGAATGGATTCTGCGCTTTTAAAGAAAACTAGTTTGAACGGAAAACTGAAAGGGGAACCTTTTGCCTCAAGCCTCACAGAACTTCTTTACAGTATATATATAATTCTTGTGTGTCTGATGTGTTTCAAGGGATGTGTGATGAAGCTTACCTAGCATAAGAAGCTTTAATCGTTTCATTTCATCTTTATGATACTTTGACAACATCTTGGTCAGCTGTTTGTCGCGCAGACGCGCTTCTTTGTGTTCCTCGGCAGTGGAATGGAATGGACTTGTCTCTTCTACACAACCTCCAAAACACGCCATGACTTGATCACGCATATCTGTGCTGTAGCAGCTGATTGGATGAAGAAAAAATCGTTGAGAGTTGATTGGTCAGGGGTCAGTTTTTGCTGTGGCTTAACAAACAGTCCTCGGCTGTACGAATATACCAGTTAACAATATGTAAGTCCTTCACACTGAACCGTGAACACGGTTTCTACTGTGGTTGTAGCCTTCTCTGAAGACAAGTACCCTCAGGTAAAACAGGGAACTTCTGAAACATAAATGTAAGAATGTCTAATTGAACAAACAAACAGTACTAGATAATATTCTTTTTAAAACAAGATATTCCAATATTTGTTGAACAAAAGCACTGAAATCATTGCTGAGAATTGCTCTTAGTTATAACGTACAATACATTTCATTTATTTCAAGAATAAAACATTTTAAGATGAAGTGTAATTTTACCTCGACCCAGTCTAAGTTCTATGTCAAACGACCTATTTGCACTAAGGTATCAGTGAACCCCTGTAATCAGCAGGGGGAAAGATACCACGTTGTTATGAATAAGACGGGACAAAAATAGCGTCCCTGTCTACATGAATAGAACAAATTTAGAGGATGACCCTTGTAGAACTTGTTGACAATAGAACTGATGGGTCATTTTTACTTTCTATTATTGTTTATGTAGGTATTTATCGGCATCATTTTTAAACAATTTTAGTATTTACCACTTGCTAAAAATCACGTGATTCTCCTATCCCTCCATCCATCCACAATACATACATACACTAAACACACAGACACACGTACGCACGCACGAATGCACGCAAACATACATACATACACACACACATGCATACATATATACATACATACATACATACATACATACATACATACATACATTCATACATTCATACATACATACATACATATATACATACATACATACACATATATACAGACAGACAGACAGACATACAAACACACACACGCACGCACGCACACACACACATACATACATACATACATACATACATACATACATACATACATACATACATACATACATACATACATACATACATACATACATACATACATACATACGTACATACGTACATACGTACATGAAATTGTTCCACTTAACACATTACACCAAAGGTGCAGAGTAGGTTAATGCTTTCACTATGGACCCTTCAACCATAGTATTTCAAATTGAGAGCTAGGGCTGTCCAGCATAATGTACGTTTAAACGGACTGATCTTTCCTTACGAAATGTAACAAAGGTCAGAATTCAATTAATGCATGAAAACAAAAATGAAATTACACATGTATAATGAAAACAAAATATATTTGGATACCAGTATGCTCTACAAGTACAAATAACAAACCAATATTGTTAGGTGCTAAACACATATACTTGACGTTATTATAACTAGTTAGGCTAATTAATAAATTATGTAATGCTTTTATGAGAAAAGCGATTGTCAGCAAACGAACGTTTGTATAGGATACATCGGAGATGTTAAAAAAAGGAAATTAACTCTTAAGGCATAGATAAGGACAAATTTTATGGATGAACAACATCTTTATTCAGGTGTTGCGATGTTTCGATACAGATTCTTGACATGGATACAAGAATCTGTATCGAAACGTCGCACCACCTGAATAAAGAAGTTGTTCATCCCTAAAGTTTGTCCTTATCGGACTCTCCAACTTAAGAAAAATGCCACGCAAAGAAGTTCTTTGGTCATAGTGTGAAAACTACAGGCACAACTTACCTTGTACACACGGCCGCGATACAGTGTATTTTGAGTGAGATGAACAGTGCAGTGTACAGAAGCAGAGTCGCAGGAGGGACGACATCAAGGAGGTCTCTTCCTTCCCCTATCCTTTGTGTAATTTTAGACTTTAATCTCCTTGTTATCTCCTTACTGTGTGATAAGTGATAACAAAACTATATTTGGAACACTTAGGGTATAAAGGGCTTCTCACAAACAAAGATAACATATCAATGTCTGTATGAAAGTCGTTGGCATTAATGTGATTCATTAAATTATTCATTCCATTGCCTTGAGCTAGTCTTCCTTATTCTATAAATGTTCAGTTTGAGGCTATGACAATTTTGTTTTTGTTTGCCAGAAATATAACACTGTCAAATAAATCCTTTGTGTCTTCTTTGTTATTATCATTTTACTGATTACTTTTTGTTGTGGATTGTTGTTATTTCTAGACTGTGTGTTCGTATTTTAACAAGGTATTGTGTGTGTCTGTGAGTCTATGAGACTGTCTGTGTGTCTGCTGTCTGACTGTGTTTCAGAGCGAGTGAGTCATGCATACACGCAAACCAATTTCTAATTAATAGGTTATCGCAGGGAAGGTATAGACCCAGGAGTCAATGCAAACTTCATGATTGTGGAAAAGGATATATGACGCTCCCCTTTTTCTTACTTATCAACATCTTTCTTACGTAAACACTAACCTACCTGTCCTTATCTGAAGGAAAGTCATGAATATAAATTACATGACACTATCAATAAAACAGCCCTATTGTTGTTTCATAGGGGACTAACGTCATCAGATATCTCGAGACATGTTTATTAACAATGAACGTCTCAAATGACTTAACTATTTAACGCTGTAATTCAAGAGGGTCCATGCTTTCGTAACTACATAATTCATGTTTACACATGCGCCCAGTTGGACACAGTGCACAATGTACAAGGTACAATGTATTGTGTGATTGTAAAAGAACTAACTACTTTTTCATGTGTATGTTGCAGCGTGTCCAAACTGTTTTCTTTCTTTGCGGGAAGAGCGATGGTTCTAGTGAATGGCATATATTATATTGTCTGGTGGATTGCTTCATTGACTAGACAAAACTTGGTTGTTTACAAGACTGCACTGCGGCGGAAATAATACTTTTGTTTATTCAAGTTGTGTTCGTGTGGGTGCTTCCTGTAGCAGGAAATATAACTATGCTTGATGAAAGTTCAATAAAATTATTTATTCTGAAGTAATATAATGAATCTTTCGATTCATTATAAAGTTAGAAATTGCATGTTTTGCCCATGTTTGTTGGGCACATAACACTCACGAACGTGTATTTTTCAATGTGGTCATGACACAGTGATTGTTTAGCAATTCCTCAGCTTGGTGAAAATCAACGCTTACGCGACAGGGGTATGTTGTAAACAATTAGGTAAGAAACGAAGTTGCCCTACATTTAATGTTCACCGAAACACAATATCGTTTCTGTTGGAGCCCTTATGAACAGCAGGGCAACACTGATGGCCGGTCGTCCAAGTCAACAAAGACAGCCATATTCAGTTGGTGCACCTACGTTTAGATACCAAACTGCCACATTAACAGCTGGAACAATTCCTGGGTTCAATAAAGAACAACCAAACAAGTGTTGGTGACAGATGTGTGGGCAACCGGTTGAGGGATTACTCCATCATACGACCAGTCTCGCTTTCATGTCACTGTCAGACATGCCTAACATCGGGGGAGCGTGGCATTGCTGTAGCGCGTTTATCAACTGTTCCTCCAGACACCTTCCCCCATAAAATATGTACGTATAGTATGTAACTTTAGGTGATATTTGGAAAAACTTCGCCGAGGCTGTTTTCAATCGTCTGGTGTCTTCAATGCACGTGCACTGCCTCGTCAAATAATGATCACACCGGATGCAACTGATCAATTTCCATGCCTTTGCGTGTGTTTTGGCGAATAGCATACGCTCAACCTTCAGCGAACACTTGGCCCCGATTTCTCGAAACAAACTTAAGTTTTTACTCAAATTTCTAACTGACAATTTGACAATTTGAAACAGCTTAATTTTTAACTCAACTGCATTTTTAAAATAAAAAAAGCCCAAGCAAGTTGAGTAATCTATCCACCTAACTCAAATTGTCTACAATGTTTTAGCTTAATATAGATTTCAGTTCTGGGAAATGCATTTTCCTGCGTTTTCTCAAATTTCAGTGAAAACTCTAACTTAAGTCAAAACTCTGACTTAAGTTTGTTTCGAGAAACCGGCCTGGAATGTTCACTATTAAATAGTCATTCATAGACTCCTCTTAAACAGAGAAATAAGAAAAACGTATTCATCCTTACGAGGAATAGTGCTGTGTGCATCCCTTCATAAACATCCTTGCCTGTTGTTGATTCATGCACCTGTTAGGGTCTTTACGGGTTCATGTTTAACTTACTGATGATGTTGAGATGAGTGTTTTCCACTGAATAACATATTCAGTGTCGTGAATACGAGGAATCGTTTTACCGCTTGGGTATCAACAATATTGCGCAATCCACATTTGTCAGCAGAAGCCAGATCGTGTGACGATCTAATGTGAGCTCTTTAACATTAACTGAACACATAAGAACATTTATTGTAGGAAAATAACTTATTTTGATATACTTAAGTTTTTAGAGATCACGCTTTTCATTGATAGATTTCTTTAACTGACAATCCATTTGTCAGGTCTATTTTTTTTCATTACATTTTCCATTATGGTAAACCCACATTAGTTTATCATGAGGGGATGTAAAAATCCCGTTTTAAATTGAATAATTTGTTCTCTGCAGAAACAATATTATTATTTCGTGGAAATAAATGTAATGAATATAGAAAATACTTAATGGACGTTCTCTGCTTAGCTTTATATATTGAAGACGAATGTGTTGATTTGTCTGAGATATAATAATTTATATGTATGGTTTCGAAATACAAAACCTTCACAAGTTGTGAAAAACATAAATTGGTAGACAATTCCAATTTGTAAAATTAAAATAGGTTTTAGAAAAAAGTGAAAATTTACAGGGTATACGGACACTTCTCACAACCAAGGAATTAAACACGCTATTCATTTAAACATTAGCAACTACTAAACGTCAGATAACTTCATTTCATGACACTCCAGATCTTATCCAACAACCTAATACCCCCTGTTTACTTAAATCTTCACATGAAGTAAGATGTTGTTTATTTCATCTTTACGCAACTTTAAAAACGCTGGGCCTCCAGCTCTGAAGATCCGCGTAAAATCGGTAATGTGGTATATTGAATTACGTCAACTTCAGCAAACTGAACTATTGCCAATTTATTGGCAATTTTAAGATGCCTAGCGGTTAGAACAATCGAAAAAAAATGCATTATCAGACAATAAAGTATAGTTTTTTGATGACGTAACAATTGAATGACGTTATCGCGTCACTGCGCCATTCTAGTGTGCCCCATCGTAATCGAACCATTTTACATTACGTCACAATGTAAGCGACGTCACGATGCATGTCAGTTGTCATCGCCTCGTACGGCCTCCTACAGTAAACTACTCCGTTGCATCCCGTTTCTTGGTTTGCAGTTGCTTCACGCAGCTAACATCACTGGTGGAAACATTACGTTTATGTTTTACGACGGTTAAAATATGTCAATTCGACTCACAAGTTTTCAGCGACACGGTAACGTTCGCAATGTATACATTCCCACAATGCAATCGTGGAATGTCGCTTGACTACTCAGCTTCATCTGGATGTACTGATCTAAACATACGTTGGTAGTAGAAATGCGACGTCCATATTGCCCCATATGGTTTACGTTAATGACAGATGTAATTAAAATAATTCAGAGAAGATATTTAATCCGAACGTAAACCGTCATCAAACTGTTATCAATTTTTCTGGTAACGTTCGTCTTAACGTAGGGGGGCAGACACATCAATAGAACAGCGCCGCAGTTAGCCCTGTGCGAGGATTCTTAATTTAGGTCACCGACACCGTCGTTTGTTTTCTGCCTTAAATTAATCGTAATTATCCTTAGAAAGTATTAAATTTGGCATCTTAGAAAAGAAATACAGTTCGCTCTACCACCATGTACAGTGTAATAAAGCACACTTTCGATCTGAACTATTATAACGTTAAAGCACTCGGACGCAAGCGTCCTCGTACTTTAACTATAATAGTTCAGGGCGAAAGTGTGTTATATTTCACTATACATGTTGGTAGAGCGAACTGTATTTCTTAAATCAATAGATACGGAATTGATTACGTCATTCTCTCGGTTTGGCATAAATCTAAAAAAAATTACAACATCTATACACAATGAAAATTTGCATTTGAGTATAATTTAATTTGTAAAATTGCTACTGGCGTAAACATACTCACAAGAATAAACTACAGTAAAGAATAAAACGCGTTCATAGAACATGTTTACTCTCGTATGTATATTTTCACATGTGTGCAAATATACACACATATGTATAGATGCGTCTGTGTACGGTGTATTAGGTTACTGGTTGGTTATATTCAATGACAACGCAGGAAAAACGCACAGAAACATGACTGTCGGCGATTTCTAACATAATAATGACACCTGGACGTGATAGATGGTGAATCCAACGTTACAAACTACAGATAATTGTTTCTATTTAGTTACGCCCTACAGCATTCAGCAGCTTTACGATTGATTTAATCATTTCCATAATTCATCCTCAGAGTCTAAACAGCCACAAAAATAGAAAACTGTTCACAAAATCAATGAGATTTACACATCTCTGTATATAAGAATTTATGCAAGATTTATGTGATCAGATTAACTTGAGGAAAGTCGGATTCAATCAGTGTTGATATGGGATTATTGTTTCAACGATTCAGGTCATATACTGCCTTCCCAAAACGCCTGTTGTTATAGATGCATTCTCATTAACTGCAATTATTAGCCGAGTGTTTGTCTGTATTGAAGCCATCATAAATAAACAACAGGCATATCACTCATAGATGAACTGCAACAAACCTGTTTCAATAATCATAAAATTACTCTGCTAAAGCAGTATCAGTGGTACAATTCAGATTATGTCACTTGTCTATGAATCACTGTCAAATATACTAAGCAGCAAAAGAAACGTCAATTTGGAAATTAGTTTCGCAGAAACGGATAATTGTAAACTCATGTAATGTTTTGATTGTATATTTTTGACAGCATCTCCAGCTTTACCTGAGCAAAGACATTCCTTCCCAAACTCAGAATGGAACCCAGGAAATGGTCTCAAAAACGCAACCTGATCTCGGAGATGGTACGGTGTTCTCCATGTTTTTCATGCCACACGTGCTGTTCACAAGGACCAGCCCTATTAAATACACCCCCAAACCTGGTTGAAACATTCATATTACAACGTCAGCAGGATGCCGCGACTCACGACAGCTCAGAGGAACCAGGCGCTAGGAAGACTTGAAGCTGGCCACACTGCACAAGCCGTTGCCAATCACTTCCAGGTCAACGTTCAGACCATCTACAGGCTGCAGCAACGTTTCCGGGCCACCAACACCACAAATGATCACCCCCGTACTGGCAGACCAAGGGTGACAAGACCGCCATGTTGTGCGACAGCATGTACAGAATCCCTCCATGCAGGCATCGGAAACAGCTCGCCAGTCAGTGGGAACATATTTGGGATGAAATTCAGAGGAGACTGAATAATGTCATACCAAGGCCGAACACAGCCGATTTATTGCGCCAGGCCTTTCTCAGGGTGTGGTTCCAGATGCCAATGGCCTTCATCAATCAATTGGTGCACAGCATGCATAGACGCTGTGCTGCAGTTATTGCCGCTCGTGGTGGTCACACTAGATGCTGAAGTCAAGGGTCTGAATGGACTGCAAACGTTCACGTAATTATGTCTTGAAATTGTGCTGAGTTATTCATTGATGTGTCAAGATATTGTACACAAAAGATGTTTTCCATCCGCTTATTATGTCCATCTCTGTAATGATTTGATTACAGTGCCTATCTAATTTTGAATTCCTACTGACGTTTTTTTGCTGCTGAGTATAGTATTCATACTAGGTTTTTGCGAAAAGGTGAGCTTACCCCATGACATGGTACCCGTCATAAACACATGCAAAGGCAAGGCAATTGTTCAGTCGAAATAACAGGGGAATGTATGGCAAAATTCAAAATATAGAATTGAATCAGATTTAACTTTTTTTGATGCGTCAAATTTGGAAATGTCCTGATATGTTTTTGTTCGAAAATACTTAAACAACGAAAATCACCTGTCTAATAGAAACTAATTGGGAAGGATATGCAACAGTTTATTGAGAAAGTAGAAACTGCATCGATATGTGGACCTTATTCAAAGCAGATCCAGGATGGTGACCTCATTTACATAGCTATTGGATTTAGATACTAAAATTATCGGATTGGCCAAACACACGGATGATACGACCAATAATATTATAAAGGGTATTCTCCGGTTATGTGGTGTGTTTACTTCGTTAGTTAATCATTGATTTAACCCTGTATTGTTAGTATGCGATTTATTTGACAATTCTCAGTTCACACGTCAACCATACTCCCTGTTGACGTATCTAGCAAAACAAACAATTTATTTATGAGCAGTGATGCTTTTCGGTTACGACTGGATTGTCTTGTCAATGCTCGATTGTTTACAGGTTAGGGTTAGTGTGGGAGCAATACTGTTGTGTGGGAGCAATACCGTTGTGTGGGAACAATAGTGTTGTGTGGGAACAATAGTGTTGTGTGGGAACAATACCGTTGTATGGGAACAATAGTGTTGTGTGGGAACAATAGTGTTGTGTGGGAACAATACCGTTGTGTGGGAACAATACCGTTGTGTGGGAACAATACCGTTGTGTGGGAACAATAGCGTTGTGTGGGAACAATACCGTTGTGTGGGAACAATACCGTTGTGTGGGAACAATACCGTTGTGTGGGAAACAATACCGTTGTATAGCGCCAAGCAACACGGAAACATTTTATGCAAACTTTGTTATATGCTAGTGCTACCTGAAGCTTACGACTTTAACAAACACCTGGTGTCATCACTGATGTTAAGTGATCTATTCATATAATGTTCAATGCTATTTTGTCAATTATAACCAATAGAATCTGGCACAAAAAGCCTGGTTATTCCCTGTCTTTGACGTGTGACATCTTCACAAACTTAATCTCGATGGACATCTTATATTGACACCACAGATTCTAATACGGCCCAAATACAGCGACTTAAAGATGGGGATTCAGAAGGTGATTTTTCAAATTGGTGGCATGACACTGAGAACTAAAATCCCGCCTTCGAACTTTTTCTAATTGTAATTGTCCTTCCAAGTTCTAAGTAGTCTCATGCTTTGGGAACTACATTTTCCTGACGGTGTCTGCAGTGTGTGTTCTCTGTCGGCTGCCTGTATTGATTCATGCCGGATTTCGCCATCAAATCGGATACCATGAGCCTTTACTTGACAAGCACACGCAACGGAGCCGGAAAGTAACTGTCGACACAGCTAACACTGCTCCATGTTCTACAAGTACTTCAGCATCAGACCCATGTCGCCTAGTTCCATTTAGGACTGGACGACACAGAAGGAACCAGTCACTGAGGAGTTTTGGGATTCAGTGAATGAATTTGTGTTAAGATTGCGTGAATGGTAGGCGAGAGCAAGTTATTGTTTGAGTTTAAAAGACATAGATGGGAAAGCGTGGGATTGAGATTCGGACGGACGGTACACGTTTGACTGAGTTCCAATGGAAGTAAAAGATAACAAGTGGGAGTCAAGGTCTGTCTTTACTTATAAACAGCAGGACCTCTGCCCTTGAACACAGGAGGCTTAATTAACATTCGGAATTAACATAATTTTAGTTTCATCGATTTAGTAAATGCGCTATCGGATTTCTGGTCCATCAATTAATGGCTGGGTTTTTTAATTGTCAGTGTTGCATGGCAGGAGTACTGATGTGAGATGTCAGGGAACAAACGTACTTTTGCATGCAAATTGTGTAAGTGACTGGTGATACACGTAAAGCCGGACATGCTTACCATTTTAGCAAACATCTCGTGTAATACTGATTGTCCGAGGTCATATTTTACATTTTGCTTTCACGAGGGTCGGTCGAAAAGTAGTTGGCCTCACCTAGGAAACGATACAAATGCAGCTGTTATTATACTTTATTTTTCTACATATTATCTGTCAACCTCAAGCAAATTGGTTTTGTTCCAGCCTCACGATCCCCGTTTTGTTTGACTTTTTATCTTGGTACCCCCGAAAACGCAAAATCTGCGATAAATGCGTCACAAACTTCAGGAAACAAAATATGCAAGAAACATTTTGTGTGTTTGAGATAGGTAGAAGTGCCCTAGAATCAAACTTAGGTATGAAAGTGGATAAAAAAAGCAATTTGAAACTACAATCGATTGTTAAAGTGGCTCCCCCCCACCCCTCCATGCTTACTGAAAGAGCATGTTTTGGTGACACTACCCACCCCCTTTCAGATGCCGTAATCTTAATGACACAACTTATTCTAATGTTTTCACTTATTCATACATGATGCCAAGGGTTCAAACAATTTACTGAATGGTAACACAAGTGTCAGCTCTCAATATGTTCAGTGCCAGCTTGAATATCTGGACACAATGTTTATGAAAGATTTGGGGCAGTCCTTAAACAAAGCCCCGTCTAAAATATAAATCAAGCAATCGAAATCCTTGACTGTTGATTATGACGGGAAGTCATCCAATACAATACCTATTTTACATGATACCTATTTTACATTATACCATTATCCAAGAGGTACCAAATGGCAGATCCTTTTTCATTTTCTTCAATTTTTTCAGAAATATTATACCCCAATGTGTTGTGATGACTAGTATTCCGTGAACCACATTACCCACATATGTGAAATTTTGGATATGGCTTTGCTAATGATTCAGTCCAAATAAACTGGAAGCTTTTCAAACATTGGACATCGAGAATATAGTTAGGCCGGCTACTTTTTGACCGACCCTCGTATCTCCTTTACAAACAAATTCATGTTCTTTCTTATGGTTTCACTTTCTTTCACTATCTCCTTTACAAATAAATTCATGTACTTGCATTTCACCTTCTTTCACTTTCTTCTTAACAAACAAATTCAAGTTCTTTCTGGTGATGACACTTTCTTTCACAATCTCACTTACAAATAAATTCATGTTCTTTCATTTCACTTTCTTTCACAATCTCATTTACAAACAGATTCATGTTCTTTCATTTCACTATCTTTCACAATCTCATTTACAAATAAATTCATGTTCTTTCATTTCACTTTCTTTCACAATCTCATTTACAAACAGATTCATGTTCTTTCATTTCACTTTCTTTCACAATCTCATTTACAAACAGATTCATGATATTTCATTTCACTTTCTTCTACTATAATTTCAATTCAGTTTCGTCAATGATCCTTTCATTAACACTGGATCACTATTTTGTCGTTCATGGAATTTGTTTAGACAAATTATAGATAGTTTACTCTCTACCATTTATACGTTGTATGTTCATGTTCATGCAATTTTGTGAATGTTTTGTCATCCCTCTAGTTAAATGTTAGGGTTCAGTTTATGAGTATTTCAATATTTTGCTGAAGTTTCCATATACTAGTAGTCATTCTACTTAAAGGCGCCCCTCTTGCAAAGCCAGTAGACATTCGATTGTCAACCCAAGATTCGTTATCTTGACATATTTAAAATGGACTATGGTACAAGACGCCTACCGGATCAAAATGTACCCCTTCACTAATATGAGCAAATACTTATGAGGCTGATAACATATCATAAGATGAATTGCATGCGACGTTCATATATGCGATAGCGAGATACAACAAGCATGAAAGTCATAGAAAAAATATTCAAGGCAACATGTCATCCAATGTGTACGTAGATCTGAGATTACTACATGTGAACTTCGTCAAAATGTGCGTCTATCAGCGACTCCACTGCTATCTGATACGGTGAGCAACACAGAGACGTGATTAGACTGGTTTTCCCTTTGAACTTGAATCCGTATGTAGTAACAATAAATTAGCTGTTTAAAATATATAGAGAGAATAAATGTGTTCGTGATTATTAACATTTGGGGATAATTCTTTTGCAGTGGAGGCAAGGAACAGAATTTCATTAAAAATATTTATGAACGTAGCTTAGACCAGAATGTTTCAAACCTCCACGAATATACTTCAGGGCACAATCAGCATCAGAGCGACTCTGGGATTGTATTCAAATTATCAGAACTTTAGACTTTAGTCTAATTTGTTCCCTGTGTTTCAAATAACTCCTATTCGCAGATTGCCTCACAAAAAATTATCCATCAATTACATTGTCTGGATCATGTTTTACTGCGAAACACTCGAGCAGAAAATAGATTAAACTCCGACAATCTCACAAATATGAACTAAAAATGTGGAAATCCTTTGATTCAACAGTTTCTTTAATATTCCCAGTTTGATCTCGAAAAACATTAAACATTATCCAGTCTTGAAATGAGATCCACAAAAACGTATTAGATTGTTTGGTTCGGCTATCAGATATGCTACACAAACTATGTTTTTTTCTGCTTGACCCCAGATCATATAGTATGGAAGGTGGGTGACTCCAAGAAGACACGCTGAAAATATGTATGCATTATTACATTTTAGAAATTCGTGCATATCTCTAATGACTTGATAAAGCATTGACTTTAAAGAGATTAAACATAATGGTTTGATGAATTGATTCCACACTCTAATGTTTTAAAAGTCGAGGGAGCATGAGAATAGTTTATTCCTTCCAAAAGAAGTTTCAAAATATCAGTTCATTAAACCATATGGAGTAGCATATTGCGTGTCACACAATGGCAACCAACAGTTAGTGAGAGCCCCTGTCAGACCACAAATAAATATAAGAGTATTTGACCTGAAACGTCACAAATAATTACACTTATCCACAACAACCGTAAGCCTCGAACCGTAGTATTATGCCCAGAGTAAGTGTCCGGATGGTTGCCAAGGGAGGGTTGTTAGACTCTTCAGTAAGAGCCTTGCCATGTTCCTGTTCCTGTCAAGTTGTTGAAAGAACAGGGCGTCATGTGTTAGTCATGATTCAACCTGTGTTTGATGGAGTTGAGGCTAGTAGTCACCCCTGTAGCGCACCTGTCATCGTGTACCCCAAAAGGACAGTGTAATCATTTTCCAGTTCTATTGATTGCGGCCGGAATCGTGATTAAGCGCCCTCTAAAGAGGTCATGTTCCACTACGGAATTCTGACATCCTTGTCACTCACTCGGGCACCGCGATATTTGACGTCTGGAATGTGTCATTATCGTTGGAAAGCACAAGAGACCTGTGCTGGTCTGTCCAGATGACCAGTCAAAATGTGCCTGAACATGATGTCGCGTCAGTGGGTGCCCATGCATGCCCTCAATGGCCGGAGACCAGCCTCACAGAGGCGCCTTTCATGTGTGAGTAAAGGGGCAGTCACAAGGTGATATCCTGCTGCAATCAGGAGAAACTTGTCCTCTCGCTGTATGGTGGAACGCTGTCGACCACCTGCATGTTGCTGGCTAGCTGATCCAAACGTCTGATGTCTTTCCATTCCCTACTGATCGCAATTTCACTGACAATGACAACAAAGACGTTTGCAACGTGACGTCATGACCAAGTACCAAGCATGTCTATGCATCTACCCAATTCCTTGGTCGTCAAACGACATGTTTTGATGCCGAGGGCGTCGATGGGAATATATCGGAATATTTCATTCTGTATTTGTTGTTTTGTATCATATCATCATGCTCGTTAGAAAATATAAATCCAGCTGGGTGATGTGTTAAATCTTTCCACATTAAGCCGATATGCTGTGAACATACTATACACTGTTTAAAAGGACGTTAAAACTCACTCTCTTTGTTTCCCATCCACTCACACGATCTCTCACTCACAATCCCCGGTTTTCTCCTGTTTACTGCTCTTGGTTTGTCAATAGCATACCAGTCGACTTCAGAAACAGTGGAAAATATCAACGACCCGCATTACTTTGTACCTTCCTCTAACACCAAGATAATACTCCGCGATTAACTGATATACTGCTCAAAGCGGTTAAACCTACAGCCCTCCAAACCGGAGGAAGCACAACGTGTTAGTCGTAACCACAATGCCCTGTACACAAATCCCTGTAACAAACCAAAACTGGGGTATATCCATCCCTGTAACTAACCAAAAGTGGTGTATACCCTTCCCTGTAACAAACAAAACTGGTGTATACATATTCCTGTAACTAACCAAAACTGGTGTATACACATCCCTGTAACAAACAAAAATTGGCGTATACCCATCCCTGTAACAAACCAAAACTGGTGTATACACATCCCTGTAAAAAACAAAAATTGGTGTATACCCATCCCTGTAACAAACCAAAACTGGTGTATACACATCCCTGTAACAAACCAAAACTGGTGTATACCAATCCCTGTTACAAACCAAACTACGTGTATACACTTCCCTGTAACAAAACAAACTGGTGTATACACACCTCTGTAACAAATATAAATAGGTGTATACACTTCCCTGTAACAAACCAAACTACGTGTATACACTTCCCTGTAACAAACCAAACTGGTGTATACACACCTCTGTAACAAATATAAATAGGTGTATGCCCATCCCCGTATTAAACCAAACTGAGTGTATACACATCCCTGTAACAAACCAAACTGGTGTATACACATCCCTGTAACAAACCAAAACTGGTGTATACACATCCCTGTAACAAACCAAACTGGTGTATACACATCCCTGTAACAAACCAAACTGGTGTATACACACCTCTGTAACAAATATAAATAGGTGTATGCCCATCCCTGTAACAAACCAAACTGGGTGTATACACATCCCTGTAACAAACCAAACTGGGTGTATACACATCCCTGTATCAAACCAAACCAGGTGTATACACATCCCTGTAGCAAACTTAAATAGGTGTATACACATCCCTGTAAAAACCAAACTGGGTGTATACACTTCCCTGTATCAAACCAAACCAGGTGTATACCCATCCCTGTAAAAACCAAACCAGGTGTATACACTTCCCTGTATCAAACCAAACTGGGTGTATACACATCCCTGTATC